ACACCCAGTAGTGTTCAGAGCTCACTCCAGTAACTGTGCTCAGGGATCACTGCTGACTGTGCTCAGGGTACCATATTGCAGTACTAGGTATAGAACTGGGTTGGCTGCCCGCAAGGTGAGTGCCTTAATCCTTGAATTAACTCTCCAGCACCTAGAACTAGCAGTTTGAAAGCAGGGACCACCCACCCAATTTATGTTCATGATTGACTTAACAAGGGCAATTGATGGGGCTGGAGCCATAGCACAGCAGGTAGGGCTTTTGCCTTGCATGCGGCCAACCAGGGTTCAATTCCCAGCATCCCATATGGTGCTGAGAGCTTGGAGTCACTTTCAGATGCTTGGTCTAGCAGTATGGACCTGATGATTTGGGGCAGGGGTTGGGGGGCGGGGCATACCAGGGTCACACCCAGCAGAGCCTGTGGGCCATGCAGTGTCAAAGATCAAATGTAGGGCCTTACATATAGCTAAATAGGTAGTCTACCATTTGAGCTATCACCCCAGTCCTAAAACAGGCAATTTATGTTCATGATTTACTTAACAAGGGCAATTGATGGGGCTGGAGCCATAGCACAGCAGGTAGGGCTTTTGCCTTGCATGCGGCCAACCAGGGTTCAATTCCCAGCATCCCATATGGTCCCCCGAGCACCACTGGGAGTAATAACCCCTGAGCATCACCAGGTGTGACCCCCCCCCCAAAAAAAAAAAACAAGGGCAACTGATTTGAATTCAACAACAAAAGGCATCTACCAAACATCCAGATTCTAGGCCAGCAATCAGAGGGTATCATTGGGTGCTAACCCACCACTATCAGCATGTAGGTGTGGGAAACACACAAAAATAAATAAATAATCCCAGGTTTAGGAAGAAAGCATATAAGAAGCAGTTGAGGTGGGAAGTAACATTGCCTACTGGCGTAGGTGACTCTTACTTCAATATGACTGGCTTCCTTCTAAGAGAGGAGAGAAGATTCCGGGAGCCAGCCACGGGACAATAGAGACCCAAGTGACACAGCTACAAGCCAAGGGATGCCAGGGATTGCTATGAACATCAGAAACAGGGGAGAGGCAAGGAAGAGTTCTCACCTGCAGGCTGGGCAGGGCAAGACAGGGTCAATACCTCGAGTTTAGACTTTGCCTCCACAGTGGAGAGACAATATATTTCTATCTGAAATGTATACTACATCTATGGTCCTTTGCAGCTGTCACTGGTTAACAGTCTTTTAGGCTCATTAAGACAGTAGCTCAGTTCCTTTCACCTGAGCCACTGCTGTGTTCCCTGGCATAGACCAGGTGCTCAGAAAAGTTGACTGAGTGAACAAGTGGGAAAATTCATGGAGACAAAACTCAGCAGGAAGAGGTACTCTGTCTTTGATCTCTACTGCAAGATTGGCTCAAATTAGACTCAATAAATGTTTATAGAATGTATAAATTTCTTTGGTGCAGGGGATCCCGGGCCCCACAGGTGCAAAGTAAATGTTCTACTTCTGAACCATATCCCTGGCCCCCATTTGTGTGTGTTTTGAGTCATACCCAGAGATGCTCAGGAGTTACTCTTGGCTCTGCACTCAGGAATCACTCCTGGCAGTGCTCGCGGGGCCACATGGGAAGTTGGAAATCAAATTTAGGTTGAGTACAAGGGAAATGAACCTAGGTTGAGTACAAGGCAAATGCCCTCCCCACCACTGTATTATCACTCGTGCCTCACCTGGGCCCCATTAAAAAAAAATAAATGAGGCCACACACAGACATGCTGGGGGCAGGAACCTGGGGTCAGTCACAGGTGATGTGGACTTGGTGGTGCTGGAGATCTACAGTGGGCTGTGATTAGCTAACCAGCTAGTTCCGGGCCTCGAATTCAGAACCTCTTACAGGGCCCTAAACAGGTCAGACATGTGCTTTACCAGTTGAGATTATCTCCCCAGTCCATGTATAAACTTCTTATTAAAGAATTATCTCTGGGGCTGGAGCAATAGCACAGCATGTAGGGCGTTTGCCTTGCACATGGCCAACCCAGGTTCGATTCCCAGCATCCCATATGGTCCCCTGAGCACTGCCAGGGGTGATTCCTGAGTGCAGAACCAGAAGTAAGCCCTGTGCATTGCTGGGTGTGACCCAAAAAGAAAAAAAAAAGAATTATCTAAGTTATGCAATGAGTCTTGGGTTTGTCATAGGGTTTTTGGTTCTGGGATCAAATGAATGCAGAGTTTCATTCATGTGAGGCCTGGCAGAGGCCTGGTCTCTACTTCTGAGCCACATATTTTCAAGCCCTCTACCATCAACTTGTCCATCAATCTTCCCAGGATACAGCACAAGATGTGTCACATGAGAGAAGGGAACAACTGAGCGGGTGGAGGAAAGGAAACAAGACCAGGATGAGTTTTCCAATTCTCAGTGTAAGGAAGAAGCGTCCTCCTTGCATGCTTCTCACTGAGCTAGCAGAGCTGCCATGAATGACCAGTTGCATTTTAAACAGTCCTAAGTCTATCGCAAAGGCTTTTATAAGTGGAACTGAAAAACTATTATTTTTCCAAGAAGGCATTTTTTTCCTCTTTCATCCAAAGATCATAAGACTTCCCAACCCCTCCAAAAATGTGAGAAATGCAGCTCAGAGTTGAGAGGTCAGTGCCTCTGCCTTCGAGTCACGAGATACATTTCCCATCCTTATGTGACATTCATTCCTGACCTCTGCCCTGCGGCCAAAAAGGGACATCAGCTGGACTCAAAGAAATTCAATCTGAGCTGATAGACTGACAGTGACAGGACAACCATCTTGACCTTTGCAAAGGAGAGCTGCGGAGGTTGTTCAGAGCCTGAGGGGTCTGACGTTTAGGTGAGTTTCCTTCTATACATGGAAGAAACCCCTTCAGGTCATCTGATTTCTACTGTGCTCAGATTTCAATTCTACTTTCAGCTGCTGTCCCCTGCTGTCCTGGTGGTGGGCATCTGAGGTGAAAAAGAGGAAATATTGGGGCTGGAGCGATAGCACTGTGGGTAGGGCATTTGCCTTGCACATGACCGACCCAGGTTTGATTGCCAGCATCCAAAATGGTCCCCGGGCACCACCAGAAGTAATTCCTGAGGGAGAGCCAGGAGTAACCCCTGTGCATCGCTGGGTGTGACCAAAAAACAAAAAAAAAAAAGAGGAAATATCTTGTTCTTTATTCCCCTGGATCTGGGCCTTTCCATGGATGCCAGGTGCATTGTGAGGAGTTGGGGCGAGAGAGTGGCCTTACGCATTTGTACATCAATTTTAATCATGAAACATACAAAGCAAGTGGTGTCTGCCCTCAGCTCCTGTGGGTGCCTCCAGACTGCCCAGGCCCCTCCAGCATGCCCCTAGCTCCTTCAAGGCCAGGGCTAAGTAAACAACCGTCACAGAGACATGAAAAAGAATTACAACCCCTTCTCCACACCAGGGAGCAGGAGACACTGGGCACAGCCCAATACTTCAAGAGATGGCCCTCAGGTGGTGAGCTCACCCTGATGTTAAAACTCTTCTGATCAAGTAAGATGGCTACCTGTGTTATTGGCCCTGCGTGGTTGGGTTATTCTAGGGTTCCTGTGGCCCCCAGGCATCCCAGAGAACCCAGCCACATGGCTGCCCATGTAGAATGTACCACTTTCCTTTTCCTCAGAATGTATCATGAGGATGGGGCATATCCACTATCTACATCACTGTGTCTCGAAGAGTACCCTGAGTTCCTGGAACATGAGAAAAGAATGAAACAACAAAGACAGATAAAGGTTTGGGGTTTATGAGATAGTCAAGAAAACATGAACTTTGGAATTTGGCAGGTGTAAATTTCATTCAGGTTCCAACCCCTGTCTGCTTCAATATTTCTCTTTTCCTCTACAGGTTCTCATTTTATTTATTTTTTTTTATGGTGTCAGGGACTGAACCCAGGCCCCACATATGCAAGGCAAGTGCTCTACTACTAAGCTACTTCCTCTGCCTCTCTATTTTGGTATCCCGTGAACACATGAAGAATGGGAGGGATACTGGGAACATTGGTCGTGGAGAACAGGCACGGGTGGAGGGATGGGTACTCGATCACTGTATGACTGAAACATAAACATGAAAGTTTGTAAGTCTGTAACTAACTCACGGTGATTCATTAAAAAATAAAAAAAATATTTTTAAGTATCTATGTCATAAGTGTACCAGTCAAGGAATTTGTACCCTCATATAATCGAGAGACAAAACATTTGCAAAATCTCAGAGACATATCTCACTCTCCTTTCTGATGACTATCCCCAATCCAGCCAGGTAAGCCACCATCCTGCTAGATGCTTGCAATCTGGCAAATTACTGATCCTCTCTGACTCTTGTCTTCATTTGGAAAAACAATGCCTACCACTTATAAGCATCACATTTACAGGCTATGGGTCGAAGCAATAGGGCAGTTGGCAGGGAGCTTGCCTTACACCTGAACAACCTGGGTTTAATCCCCCGCATCCCATTTGGTACCCTGAGCCCTGAAGTAATTCCTGAGTGCAGAGCCACGAGTAAGCTCTGAGCATCGCCAGTATGGCCCCAAAACAAACAAAAAATTAGAGACTATGTGCAGAGTACCTGGCAAAAAAAATGCTAGTAGTAAAAGGAGAAGGAGGAGGAGTAATACTATCAGTAGTAAAAGAAGTATTAATTGAAGTAATCATCATGGTAGGCAGTAGTAATAGCATATGCAAAAGAATTTACAACAACAGAATAATAGAAGTCAGCAATACTTGGCACAGAACTAGTAATAGAAGTAGTAGTTGTGGTAACAGTAGTAATAGCAGATGTAGGAGGATTTCTAATAGAAACAGTAGTTGCAATAGTAGTAGACACTGCAGCAGTGGAACCAGAAGAGTAATAATAGGAACAGTAAGTAGTAGTAATAGCAGTAGTGCATACAAGAATATTTGTGATAGTAAAAGCAACAGCGGTGGGCAACGAAGTAGTAATGGGAAGAATAGTCATGACGAGTAGTAGTAACAGTGGAAGCTGTGACCACTCACCGATTCCATAGTGAATCTCTTGACGAAAAACTAGAGAGCCTGGAGGCTGAAGATCTCATGTCTCAGCCGTCACATCAGAAAATTACCTGGATGGGGGAAGCAAGAGAAAAGGGAACAAGAGTCATCCAGTGGGCCTTAAGTAGAAGACAGTGTCTCCATCTAATACATGGGGCAGCTAGCACCCTGGTCGGGAATATTCTTACACTGTCCAGGAATGTGAAGAAAAACAGCTAAGAAGCTCCACTCTACATGGCAGAGCTGATGGCCCCATGCAGGGGCTCAGGAATCCTTGCATTCTAGTTGTACATCAGAGAGTGATTTGCTGGTCATTAACTCCCCTAGATTCAAGTTCCTACACATGATATGAAAAGGCGCTGACATGTGGGCCAGACAGACAGACAGATGCTTGCAGCCATGTGTGCTCACAGCCAGCCTCAGGAAAGACGCAGCTAGAGATGCATGTACAGACTTCAGGACAGTCCCTGTAACTCAAGGAAAGATGTTAATTAATTCATGCATACCCAAGCTTAATTAAACTGCGCGGTGCACAGAGCCCAGGAAGTGTGGGATAAAAGGTGTTACATAAGGAAACAGCTTCAGACCTGCAAAATCTAGGGCACATGTGAAGGTGTGAAAGCAAGGTCAGGCAAGCGAACTGCCTGGTCCTTCTCCAGGAACCCCTACCTCAGGACAGCTGTTAAGGCTTGTAAGGGCTCCCTCACTCCTAACAAGATCATTCCTAACCCACCACCTCGTTTGTTCCCATGACTGTTCTTTCCACCAGCCACGTCCTCCTCCCACCTGAAGCTCTCCCAACCTGTTCCTCCTCCATCTCCACTGAAGCAGCCACACGCACGCCACCATCCTCTGCCCCTGAGTCACTACCAGCTTCCAGAACTGCTCTCCCCTCATCGACAATTCTCCCTCTTCAATCTGTGCCTCCACAACACAGCAACACGAGTTTTATTCTTCTTTGACTTTGCTTCTAAATGGAGGGAATTAGACAGCTCCAGGGAAGCTTCTCATGATGTCACACCACACCCACTGTCAACCAGCCCTTCTACCAGTTCCAGCACAGGCCTGGAGCTTTGGGTAATCCACCATCTGTTGTCAGAGTCTAAGGGCTGTTTCCGTGTCAGATGATCATTTGCTTTGTTTCTTCACATTCCACGAAAGAGTAAAACCACGTGATGTTAATCTTTCTCTTCCTGACTATTTCACTTGGCACAATTCCTTCAAGGACTATCTATGTTGTTGCAAATGTCAAGATTTCATCTTTATTTGAGGAAACAAGGTCCATTGCTCAGGGGCTGCTCCCAGCTCTGGACCCAGGGACCGCTCCTGGCATTCCTCAGAGGAACATGCGGTGCTGGGGTTCGAACCTGGGTCTCCGTAAGCCAACCCCAAGCTCAGCCTGTTAAGCTGCATCTCTGGTCAAGATGTCATCTTTATAAACAGTTAAGTACTATTAGACATCTACACCACACCTTCCTCATCTAATCACACAGTCGTCAGTTTCCTGGATTGTTTCCACATTTGAAGACTATAAATAATGCTAAGTCAACTTAGAGGTCTATGTATCTTCTTGAATGAATGTTTCCATGGCCTCTGGGTAACTACCAAGAAAAGGGGTTGTAGGATTCTACAGCAATTCTTTTTTAAGTTGTTTTTTATTTTTTAGAGAGCTTGTTTGGAGGTTCTAGCAGGGGAACGCAGCAGCCAACATGGCCGACCCGAGTTCGATTCCTCCGCCCCTCTCGGAGAGCCCGGCAAGCTACCGAGAGTATCTCGCCCGCATGGCAGAGCCTGGCAAGCTCCCCGTGATGTATTCGATATGCCAAACACAGTAACAACAAAGTCTCCAATGGAGACATTACTGGGCCCGCTCGAGCAAATCAATGAACAACGGGAGGGCCTTTACTTTTTACTTTACCTTTTTTTAGAAACCTCCATACTATTTTTTATTGTGGCTATACCAACATCCTTACCAATCATATATAAGAGTTCCTTTCAATCCACATCCTCCCCCACATTTCTTGTTTCTTGGTTTTTTGCTTGCAGCCATTCGAACAAACATAAAATTCTTACCCAGGTTTTAGTGTGCATTTCCTCCCTCCCTCCCTCCCTCCCTCTCTTCCTCCCTCTCTCCCTTCCTCCCTTCCCTTTTTTTTTTCCATTTTTGGGGCCATACCCACTGGTGTTCAAACCTTATTCCTGGCTCTGCACTCAGAGATCCCTTCAGGAGGGCTCAGGGGACCATATGGGGTCAAAGGGACCAAACCCAGACTGGCCACATGCAAGGCCAATGCCTTACCCACTCTTAGGACCCACTGTGTGCATTTTCTTTTTCTTTCTTTTTTTTTTTCTTAACATTTAAGGCAAACACTTTATTCACTGTACTGTCTCTTCAGGCCCAATAGGCTAGGGACATATGGAGAATTGGTAATTTTATATATTGAAAGAATGTAAAATAGTTTAATTATTGTAGAAAAGTCTCACGGTTCCTCAAAAATTAAATACAGGGACTGGAGTGATAGCACAGCAGGTAGGGCGTTTGCCTTGCATGTGGCTGACCCGGGTTCGATTTTCAGCATCCCATTTGGTCCCCCGAGCACTGCCAGGAATAATTCCTGAGTGCATGAGCCAGGAGTAACCCTGTGCATCACTGGGTGTGACCCAAGAAGAAAAAAAAATTAAATACAGAATTATTGTATGACCTAGCAATTCCACTCCTAGATATAGACACAAAAAGAATTTGAAACTATCACTAAAACAAATGCTTGTTCTCACTTGTTCATAGGAGCACTATTCACAATAACCAGAAATTGCAAATTCACCGAAACGTTCACTAAGGGATAAGTGGATAAGCGAAGGGTGGTATATACACACAATGAAATGTTATTGAGTTGTGTATTTTCTTAGTGAGTGATACAGGACACCTTTCACCAGTCCATTGCCCATCTGTATGCCTTCTTTGATGAAACATCTATAAAGATTCTCTGCTCATTTTTTAATGGAACTGTGAAATTTTTTGTTGTTAAGTCGTACAATGTGCTTAAATATTTTTTTAAAGCTGAATCACTGTGAATTATGAAGTTGCAAAGATATTCATGATTGAGTTTCGGGCATGTATAGTTCCAACACCAATCCCTTCACCAGTGCCTACTACCCTACACCAACGTCCCCCATTTACCTCCCACACCCCAGCCTACCTCTGAGGCAGGCACTTTTCCCCTTCCCCGCTGTTTTATTGTTCCCTTCTCAAGTATATCCCCCTTCCCCCTGCCCCAGTGCGAAGCTTCCTACTAAAGACCAGTCCTCCTGCTCCTCATTTCTATTACCAGTGGGCATTTGATGTTACCCTACAAGGTTTCTTCATATCCCACATATAAGAGAGATCATTCTGAATCTGTTCCTCTTTCCGACTGATTTCACTCAACATAATACTCTCCAGGTTCATTCATGTTGTAGCAAAATGCATGACTTCATCTTTTATTATAGCTGAGTAGTATTCCATTACGTATATGCTAAGACACATGGGAAAATAACTTCTACCTTTCAGTTGGCTATTTCACTGTGGAGAGTTTTTGAGTTTGCTGTATGCCTATTTACTTATTATTCTCTTTCATTTCTTTAGCTATTGGAGTCAAATCAACAAAGATATCATTAAAGCTGATATAAAGATTTGATTGTTTTTTTCTCTGAATTTTGTGGTTTCAAATCTTATGTTCACTCATTAGCCTATTTTTAATTCATTTTCAAAAATGACATAATATAGTGTTCTAGCATAATTCTCCTGCATGTAGCTGTCCAGTTTTCCCAGCACTATTTGTTGATTTTTCTTTCACCATCATGTGTTTGTACTCATTAGATGTACATATATATGTAGGTTTTTTACATATATGTACTGTAGCACTGTAATACTGTCCTCCCATTGTTCATTGATTTGCTCGAGCAGGCACCAGTAACATCTCCATTGTGAGACTTGTTGTTACTGTGTTTGGCATATCAAATACGCCACGGGGAGCTTGTCAGGCTCAGCCGTGTGGGCAGGATACTCTTGGTAGCTTGCCGAGCTCTCTGAGAGGGGTGGGAGAATTATCTCCACCTGTCTGTCATTACTCCTGCACCATACTGCTTTGATTACTGCAGCTTTGCAGATCACCTTGAAGTCATAGAACAGGGACCTAGGGAGGCAGGGAGATCGAGAGACGCATGCCTTGCATATGCATGGTCTAGAGTTTGAATCCTAGCATCAAATGACCTCCCTGCCCAAGAACTGTTGGTTTAACTCTGGTGACTCTGGCAATGCTGGGCCCAAGCCGCACTGCACTACCAAGCCCTAGCACTGACCTGGCTGTCCTTGTATTTCCAGGAGTGGCTTTTGGATTCCTGGAGCACTGCTTGGAAGGCCCCCACCAAAGAATGCCATTGGGATCTTAGTAGAAATTGTATTAAATCTATATACTATGAATAACAGAGATTTTTCTGATCCGTCACAGCAGAAGGTCTTTCATTCATTTGTGTTTTATTCCATTTTTTTTTAATGGAGTGGGCATATTCAACTGTGTGCAGGGACTACTCCTATATGTGTGCTCAGGAGTGACCCCTAAAATTGCTCAAGGGACCGTATGTGATACTGAGGGTTTGAATCATGGCTAGCTATCTGCAAAGCAAAAGGCTGTATAATTCAACAGCCCCTTCCACTTCTTTCAACATTTCCCTATTCTTTAAGTATACAGTCCATCTCTGCTTTGGTTACTTTTTGCTTTGTTTTGTTCTAGGGTCACACCCAGCAATGATCAGGCTATGCACTCAGGAATTATTCCTGGCAATCCCCAGGCAACCATATAAGATGCTAGGGATTGAACCCACGTCAGCTGCGTGCAAGGCAAGCACCCAGCCTGTTGTGCTATCTCTCTCCAGGGTCAGCCATAGTTAATTTTATTTCAACTAAATTTATTCTTTTTGATGTTATCACATACAATAATACAAATACATGTATCTATACAGTATACATATACATATACAGTAATGGCATTTTCTTCATTTTTCTTTCTCCTGGTTCAACGTTTGTAAATAGAAA